GGAGACATATTCTTATATTCAATGTGAATCCAGAAATGCCACCTGAATTCCACAAAGGCTACTTGGGATAAAAATGAAAGCCCAATGTATTGTAATAACATTCTGAAGTTTCATTAAAATGGATTAAATTGTAACTGTGGTTGTAGGTAGCTATTATGCATACAGTACAAATTCTACTGATGGAATTCACTGAATAACTCACTGCATCACAGGAATATAAAGAAAATTTGGTCAGTTTTAACTTTCTTCAGCATAAAATTGTTTTACTCTACTAGTTTCTGACTAACCCTATGTTAAAACTGCCAATCTTTCTGTTCAGCTTTTGCATACACCCCCTCTGCCTTTGCACCCGTTCTCTTTGACTGAAGTTTAAGAAACAACAAATCCCTTTCCATCTCTACACAAGGCAGAGAGGCTCTTACAGCAGCAGCCACTCTCACCAAACCTCTACAGACCCTGGGTCTCTGTGAGTCTCCTTCCTCTCATTCCTCCTTAGCTATGGAGGATATACGTGCCAGCAGCAGCCCTGCGACACGGCAGCAGGGTACACACCACTGCTGGGGGGAAACTGCACCTCTGAGTTCTCTTACTACATTTATGGGCTGATCTCCAGCTCCTAACCAGCCCTTGGCATGCCACTGCATGCTTTTGTCCTTCCTGCCATCTAACAGCTTTTTGCAATAACTCCTACAATACTGCAACAAAAATATTATTATCCTTGATATATGATCCCAAGAGCCCATTGTATCTGCTCTTGAAAACTAATTCATCACAGTTCCCTACTGTCTGTGTATATAAGTTTTAGAGGGGACAGACTTGCAGGTTTCCAACTGCTCCTCAAAGTCAAATATTTAATTTTTCATCATCTTTAAATTTTCTCTGATAAATGCTAAAGTCTTAGACAAATCTATTTGAACTTTGCAGGTGTGTTCTCCTGTATTTTAACCAGTTCTCCTGTGATCCTAAGCTTCATGGTTTTACAAAGATAGACATAAAGTGTGAAGTGAACAGATACTTGGTTGAAAATAATTGCTTACCCTAGGCACAATATAGCATAAAAGATCTCTGCCTGCTGGTGGTGACACAGCTTCTCTTGGTAACTGAAGACTGGGCACAGGAACTGAGCTCTTCTCTGAGAAAATGTGCATGAAAGTAGTCAGGGAATATCAGAGAGAGAATGTGTGAAAACTCTGTATTTCATTTCAGAGAAAAAGTTGCAGACAGATCGTCTGGGAGCCAAATGTACTCTTTTGAAGATTCAGCATCTTGTCCTCTATTGTCGTTAAATAACTAACACATTCAAAAACAATGGTCTTGGGACTCTAAAAATAGATTCAGATTGCTGACCCTTCTTTTTGAAAGTATTCAAATTCAGCTGTTCATAAAAATATAAATCCTTCATGTTCCAATACTGTAATTTTTAGCAAAATTAAAAATTAAAAATAAAAAGGGTTATAAGCATCTAATAAAAGAATTCACAGGCTTTGGAAATGGGACTACAGATGCCAAAAAGGAAGTGTGCTGTCTCTTTTCTTTGCCATGATATTTTTGTGACATTATACTATTAATGTTCATGCTTAATTAATATTATTCAAGACAGCTTAAGTTGAAAGCTCACTATGACATGTATAACCCACTTTTCCAAATACATTTGCTTATGAATGTCCTCGCTAATATGAAAAACTTTTCAGAAAGGGAAGTGTCATATTAAATATATTACAAGCTTTGAAAACTATAACATCATTGAGCTGCTGAAAACCTTCCTTGCTCTTTCTTCAAAGACAGATTATTCATGTACAATAGTACAACCTTTTATATAAGTCCTTCATAATAAATGCATTATTTTTGATATAAAATTACTTCTTCCATAGTAAAGTTTTACTGAATATGTATTCATTACTGCATATATTCATGAAAGATAGAACAAAATGTTCTAGTATGTGGTTGTGACACAATTGAAATTCTAATTTTGAATTTGGTCAAAACATTAGAAAAGGCTTCAGTGCATGTAAGTTGATGCTGTAATTTCTATATGACTCATTCAAATCCTACCTCAAAGGGTAATTGTTGTAACCATTCATGATGAGAAAGTCTATCATCTGCTTTTCAATGTTTTAAAAGGTTTGTGGCAATTATTTCTCTTAATAAGTTCATTTTTATTTCAGTAGAATATTGATTAAGGACAAAGAACTATTTAAAGAGAGTAATGTTGTTATCCTTAGAGTGCAAAAGATACTTTTCCCTCATTTTTTACTCCAATTCATCACTAGAAATAGTTAAGGCATTCATTTACTCCTATTTATTTTCTAAATTATAAAAATAATGTAAAATCAAATAAGATTTTTTAAATCACTACTGTAAACATCTTCAAATCCTAGGATATAGTTTAAAAATATTTTTATTCCCTCTGTAAAAAAAAACAGACAAATCTAAGGACCTTAAAAATCCTCTGAAGTGGGATGTGCATTGGTGGCTGTAGAGGCACTGCCTACAGATATTTTTTGCCTCCAGTTTGTCTCTCAGCTCTCAGGGCAATTCCTCTGCCACTTTTCAGGATGGAGGAGCTGTATCAGTCTGTATCAGATAAAGTCAGCCAGCTGCCTGCCAAGCACCTTGGTGCTCTGTAACCTGCCTGCCAGCGTTGGGAAGGGCACACACATCATCTCCTGCTGGCAGAGGCGAGGAGATGCTAACCTGTGAGTGAAAGGAAGCCACAGATTGCACTGGGGCAGAGGAGAGAGAAACAACAGCAATGTGAGCATCAGGCACGGCTGCAAAGCCAGGACTTTGCCACAGGCTCCTAAATCAAAAGCTGGGTAAACAAAATCTAATGTGCAGTAATTGGTTTTGGTGGGAATTGCTGAATGTGGTGCACTTCTAAACAGACAGAAGGATAGAAAATAATATCACTCAACATCAGTTGTTTCAATCTAGCCAGTACAAGATTCAGCCTAAGCTGCATGTGTTCCAAGGGACTCAACTAGGCTTCTTTTACAGTCAATGAAGAAAAACGAACACCTTGAAAAGTGTAATTCATCCTTTGCTGTGTAAGATTTCTACCATATGTGATTCAGACTCAGCCTTTGGAGCTACCTTTCTCTCTCTCTCTCCAGAGACCTCAAAGTCAGCACAGAATTCTTACTATTTTAAGAACTTAAGTTTGAGGAAAGGAATCCCACTCAAATTTATCATGAGCGGCTGTTATTACAGTTTTCAATAAAATATTTACTGGGTAAATTAATCATGGATGAAAATGGTAAATTATTTTGCATATTGTCGTGTATCTGAAAATCAAGTGTATATTTTAAGAAAAAAAATATGAAAAACATTCTCTGAATAGTCTCTTTAGGAAGTCTTACAAAGACAGCTAAAACTGTGAGCACTAAAAATTACTATTTTTTTTAAACACCTAGGCTGGATTTTTGATGAATTTTAAACATGAGGATGTAGGTCTTGGTCTCTTTTCCTCTAGCACTAATGTCTATGCCAATGAGACTTTGATTGCTCAGCTAAGGATTTTGTCTTACTCAACCCAGCTCTCTACTGTATCATACAATAATTTAAGTCTTCACAAAGATGGTATAAGGTACACATAGTAAAGTGAAAATCTGATCAAGAAATTTCAGGCAGAAATGAGAGGGGTTTTGGGCAGTAACACAAGCTCTCTGTAAGCAGATAGTGTCTGATTGCTTCCATTTTACACATATATTTTATAAAATAACTGATTCTTTAAGATACAGGAAATCAATGAAGACTCAGTCTTTCTACAGAATGTTTTAGCATTGTCAGTTGCACAACTTCTTGGACTAAGTAGTGTCTATAGATGACTCTTTTAAAGATTTACTTGACAGTTTCAGAACAACCTGATGAAATACTGGGCATTGAGTTAAGATTTAATATATTACTTCAGGAAGCTCCCAGAGTATGGTGAACATGTTTTTAGGTGAGACTAAGCCAGATGTGATGGTAACTTTGAAAAAAAAAGAAAAAGACTAGAGAGGTTCTACCATGATGCAGAAAGAAGCCATGGGAAGTAGTGTCTCATAAAACAACATCCTTACAACAAATGGCAAATGGTGCCAGTTTGATGACAAATCAAAAGAGAAAGTTGGGGTGTTGACTGGTGACATCCTAGATGCAGTAACAAATTGTGCACCACAGGGGCAGCATGAGAGGGACACCCAGGATGCACAAAATTTATAGTTTCACTTGGTTCTTATCAGAATTTCAGAGACTATGAACTACTCCACTTAAACACTATTTCTGATAGCTCTATCCTCTGTTGCTAATTTGAAAGTTTTCGATCTTTACTGCAAGTAGTTGAAAGATTATGATTTCAGAGGAAGTGTCGAAGACAGCTCAGTTTAATTTCTGCCTCATTTAAGTAAATCACTGAAGTCTGCTCACCTAGGGGTTTCTTTCACATAGACTCACATACTAATGTTAATAAAGAAGACCATGGTTTGTACAGGGGAAAATTATATTCTTTATTAGTACTAACCTTTATTGTAATATAGTTAATTCAAAAAGCATGTTCTTACTAGCAGCAAGGCTGTGGGCTTGCTTCCTCTATGGGTCATTCATTTAAGAATTGGACCTGATGATTCTTGTGGTTCTCTTCCAACTCAGAGTATTCAGTTACTCTGTGATGAGTAGGATGGGGAAAACAAAGAGCTCTTTCATTTCTTCTAAAGCTACCAAGTAGTCCTATAAAAGTTGCTCCTTTTTCTAACACCATCAAAAATTTAGCTACAATAATACAGAAGTGTTTCTTTCCAGAGGCTGACAATAAAAAAGAAAATTGAAAATAAATTCTCAGCTTCTCAAGTCCTTTTGGAAAAAAAATGAATTATGTTTTGAAATATTTTATTTAAGTGCAAAAATATTAAAAAATGGAAAAAATTAAAGCTTTTTTTTTGTTTGATTTGAAAACTAGAATTCTGATTTCATGTAAACATTAATGTTTCACTTTCAAAATCTTGAAATAAAAATTGCTGCGTTTTCTCAGTTTTATTTCTTTTCAATGTATATTAAGACACCATCTTTTCTCAGTTCTGACCATCCTCTAATTTCTGATATTTTTACCACATTCTAAACAAGGCTATAGGTGTATGTCTAGATATACTCTGGAAAATTTTTAATTCTGGGGTCTTCATCCAGACTAATCTGAGTTAAATATTAGATTGTTTAACTGCAGATATGCTAATCACATAACCTAGAAATTTGGTCACTTCTCTGGATTTTTTCAATAGAATATGAAAATGTCATGGCAGACTTTAAATAAGCAGACATAATCTTTGGGACACCTAATTCCTGCATGGGAAGTTTTAAGTAATTTAATCAAGTATGCCTACAATTTGTCTGAATTTGGTGGCTAAAATTTGGGTTGAAATGTCTTAAGTAGCTGATAAACTACAGTTTTGGGTTTTTGTTATAATGAACATTATTTATTCCCAGTGTAGCAGGTATACATTTTTTCCCTACACTATTTCAATTCTGCATCACAAAGTGCATTAAAAATACTGAACATTATTTATCCATTTTCAATAACATTGGATTCTGCAGTACAAACAAACAAACATAAAAAAGTGTACCAGACTTTCTCCATTAGGATTTCGCCTTGAAATATGCCTGAATTATTTCACTCTTATTGAGGTAAAAAAACCTTTGCTTGTTTCTCTCCAAGTCAAGTTCCTTCTTCAGGAACAGCCAAGGACTGGCAGTCTTATAGCTGCTTATCCTGAATCTCTTATCTGCCAAGTTTGAAATGTTTCTATTTATTTTCCTTCTACTGTTTTTAGAGTTTATATGTGTGACTCTGTCTGTAACAACAATTGAAAATTTTTGTTTGTGCTGATCAATTTTTGAGAAATGTGTGATTCATCAACTTCATTCTTCTATGCCATAATAACTTGGATTCATGTCTAAAATGTAACAAATTTCAAAAGACAAATTAGGCAAAATTTACAGCTCCCAGCCTGACCTAGAATCCAAACTGTTCTTTTTTTTTTTAATTTCTGAAAAAACATCTCTCTTTTTCCTGTTGCTGTATTTATTCACACAAAGCAGGGATAAAACTGCCTGGGCTTTGATCCTGTGTTCAGCCCATGCGGACACCACTGATCCAGTTGCCGGATCTCAGCCCAACTGAATAAGCACAGGAAACAATGAACTGACTGAACACAAAAGGCTTCCACTGATCTCTGTGGGTGTTTTGCCTCAATAAAAATGGGTCCTTAGCTAAGAGAATCAGAGCTCTAAAGCTTCAATAAATAGGCATGCCTGGGGCTGCTAATTGTTTTCTATTTTTAACATTTGAAATGTATATATATATATATATATTTTAAAAGAACTAGAGAAATTAAAGAACAAAACAGAAGAGGAGAAGACCATTCCATTTGTTGGTGAATAATTTTTTTTCCCACCTAAACTCATTATTTTCAATGCATTGTAAAATACTGATTTCAAGACTTAAAGAAAAAACACAGGGAATGATACTGTGTAGGGGAAGAATAGTATTAAATAATAAGTAAATTATAAATCATAATCCCTAGGGCTAGGAATAAAGAGTTTGGCCTTCCCTAGGATTTTTGATTGTTCAATCTGTTAGCAATGTGTTTTGTGGCTCTTTGTCTAGCATAACTTCTATGCTCTACTTTACTGATTTTTATGTATAAGAAGACTGGTATCAGTGCAATTAATCAAAGCCTACCCCTGACATTGAAAAGTTCAGTGGCAATATTTATAGAGTGTTCTGAGACCATTTGATTGAAAGAATTCTTTAATGCATGATTTCAGTGGACAGCAAATAAAGTTATTTACTTGGTAAATCTACTTTTGGTATTATTATTCATTTCACACCTTTAGAAGAGATTAAGAAGCACTCAAGGTAAATTTCATGGGAAAATTGATAATTTTGTTGATATAACACAGTTAAAACCAGGAAACTGAAAGCTTCCAGTTTTTCAGAGAAGGGAAAAAAAGCATTTCAATCAGAAAATTCAATCTGCTTTCCTTAAGGCTGACCTCTTCTTTCTTCTGGTTCTGATTAAAGATTATGGCCACCATTACCCATAGTAATGTGTTTGGTTCATGCACTCACCTTCTTCTTCTTCCTGGTTTGCAATGTAATGGGTCACATTATGACAGCTTTGTTGTCAGCCTTGAACAGCTCTGCTCCTGCAAGAACATTTTGTATGGTTGGTTGCACAGATTTGTATTATTATTCTTCTTTATACAGTAGTAGAAATTATAATAGAACTGTAAAGGAATTTATAGAAGATTATAGAGGAAGCCTAAGCAGGTATTTTGGATTTCATGCTTAACTTGAAGATATCTAATGTTTGTCCAACTTCTGCTTGGAAATCAGAAATTGATTTGTTTTGTTCCAAGTGAAATCTTTATGTAGCAACAAGCTTGTTTACACTGCAAGTAATAAACTTAGACATGAATCAGAAAAAACTAATCATTGTGACTTCTGACTAAGACCCACTACTGAGTAAGAGGGAATTAGGAAATATTTAATGGAGAATACTTCTAGAAGTCTTCTGTGGAAAAAGATACTACAAGTAATGATTTTCAGTCCTATATGTGCTATTACACATTAATAAATCATTCAAATAAGTATATATTTCACCTCATCACAACTGCATTTCATTTAGGACCTCATTACTGATTAATAATTCTCATCATTGCCAAGATGCAAATCAGCAGATCTCAATGATCAGTAATATAACAAAAATAAAGAAACACAGGAGATGTTTCTGACGTAGTCTTACTCCATCACAAGCAGAAGTGGCAATCTCAGTTTTCTAATTGTTCCAGTTATGTCCTCCCAGTTTACCTTTACTACTCCAATTTGCACTGTGAGACAGACAGAAGAAATATTAATGTTGAGATTGGACCCTGTAGAAGAAAAAGGAAAGTTTTTCAGTGGGATGTGGTCTCTGGTCTTGTTCCACAGGTACCTGGGTAAATGTTAGTATCATGCATGTGATAGGACTTTCAGCTGCACTCTCTGCTTCCATCCAGAGTGAAAATCATTAAATTCTGAGTGAAATTCTCTAAAAGTGTAATTTTAGTGAATTTACTGCAGGTGTCTGTGGGACAGCAGCTGCAAAAGCTGTGACTTAGTGAGTTGCACCATTTGAAAATACTGCAGGTGTGTATTTGCTTGTTTTCTCATTAGGAGTTGATTTGATATTTAGGCACACTGTATTGTTACACCACATGTGATGATGTGTTTATTTTGTTACCAAGATTGCTTCCTTGAGGGCGGCTCACTGAGAAAGTTAAAAAAAAGGCATAATTATATTAATTTTCTTTGACTCACTTTCACCCGTGCTTTAACAAGTTTGGTAATTAACAAGAAATTAATTTTCCCTTCTTCCATACAGTAATACAACCTGAATCCTTCATTTGCTGTCTTGTCTTTAAAGCATGATTTTTTGTCTTGCACTTTTCGAAATTTATCTTAAGCTAAGGTGTGTATGTGTAGTTCTCTACATGTGAGGACTGTAAACAGTTTCTGACATGGTAAGGCCATCAGACAGGAGAATGAGGAGACACATTCATGGCCAAGCATGTCCTAACTTGACAAGATTAATGAATTATCCCAGTGCTCATACTTCACTTTGATTTAGTAAAGCATCTATGTTAGCCATATAGACAAAATATCTATAGAAAGAAGAGGCTATTAAAAGAAAAGAAAGACCTGGCAATTTTGCTGGTATATGTGAAATAAAACATTGGTTTTCAGTTGTGACTGAGCCAGATGCTGCACCTTAGGGAAAAATCTTAAAGACTATGCAACACAGACACTATCCTAATCACAACAGAGGAACATAATCCTAAAATTTGCCTTCTTGAACAGGTTATCAGTTTCAGAAAACCAGAAGGAGAAAACTCACTTCAGTGGAGATTAAAGGAGTTCTGTGTTGATGCTGTCATCTGAAACAAATACATGTTTTTTTATCAGACTACTCATAGAACCTGCAGTTTCTCACAGAACATGGCATTGAATGACTTGCCATCTTCAGTGAATTGTTAGAAGTATTTACAGTATGCTTCAGCAAGAAAATTTGTTTAGATTTTAAATAAATGCCTTTCTTTTTGTTTAGATTTTAAATAAATGCCTTTCTTTTTGCAGTCTCCTTTATGTGATAGCAATGTTTTTCAATAGCAGTTTAAGCAGCTATCATGTAGTTGAAGTAATAAAATATGAATTCTATCATAGTGGTCTGAACACCTGGTTTCCTCATACTTCTACAATGAAAAAGCAACAAAGAGATGGAAATAAATTTATTTTATTAAATATTTTTATTTCAAATTTTATGCATTTAGATGGATTTTTCAAGTTGAAATTAATTTTATTCTACTCACTCATATACAGAATACAGGTATAAGCATAAATATGTATCCTTGGCCATTCATTCCATTCATGAAAATAGTCTGCATAAGGCCTTGGACAAAATAACTGGGCCAGCTCTGGGCTTCACAGAATTGCTGCTTTATTAGGCTAGCAGTAAATGAGTGCCACTCTGGAATGAAGTGAAGCCAACAGAGTATATATACAGGGAGTACTTTGAGATGCATTTCTTTCTTGGCTGTTGCATATCTCTCCCTCAAATCCAGTGGAATCCAGTTTCCCATTGAACACACAGGAAGAAAACGCAAAAGAAGGAAAGGTGAAAGGTAACTGAGAAATAAGGTGAAAGTAGAATACAAAATAGAGAACTGAAAATCTATTATAGATAAAAGCATTACTAATAAACAACAAAAAAAAAATCCTCTAGAAAGAAATCAGGTCCTACTGCATGTCTAGCAAGAACACGAAAGGATCACATCAATGACAGCTTTCTGTGACTCTAAATTGTCATTTAACCCCAGCCAGCAATTCAGCCCCAGCAGCCACTCACTCACTTCACCCAGTGGAAAGAGAATTGAAAGGGTCAGTGGGAGAAAACTCATTAGCTGGGATAAAGAGAGTTTAACAGGTAAAACAAAACCACACACACAAATAAAACAAAACAAAGAATTCACCACTTCCCATGGGCAGGCTGGTGTCCAGCTATCCCCAGGAAAGGGGTGCTCCATTATGTGTAATGGTGACTTAGCAAGATCACCTCCACTCTGAATGTCGTCCCCTTTCATATCTCCTGCCAGCTTTGTATCCTGAGTGTGATGCCATGTGCTATGGATTATCCCTTGGGTCAGTTGGGATCAGCTGCTCAGGATGTATCCCATCCCAACATCTGGTGCATCCCCAGCCTCCTCACTAGTGGAGTGAGAAGCAGAAAAGACCCTGACTGTGTAAGAATTTCTCAAAAATAACAAAAAATATCCCATGTTACCAACATTTATTTGAACACCAATCCAAATCATATTACCCTATACTACCTATCGAGAAGGAAACAAAACACTGTATTTTTCAAGGATCTTTTCAGATAAATGCATGAAAAACAATATATTCAGTCTCCTTTAATGAAAATCATCTGGAACATGAAAAAAAAAAAAAAAGAAAGGTTTTGGGAAGCAAAGCAAATATTATTAGAGCTGTCATCTGGTAGAATAACAGCTGGTCAGAGAAAGGTAGCAGACAATGTGAGGGGGTGGCACTCATTTACAGACAAAGGCAACTCTCAATTTGCAGGAGAATATTACCCTTATTGTAAGTGAAACCTTATCCCACAGAGTGAACTGAATTTCAAAGATCTCATATCCCTTTTTTCAAGAAGTTTGAACAGTTGCCTACAATAAATGATAATCACTTTGACTTTCCTTCATTGTTAAAAAGTCATGTTCAAAAAGCATGGCTTCATTCTGTGCCAAAGCACATGGCTTGCTAGCACACAGGAGATTTAAGACGTCTTTTTAGCTTGGTTAACATTACTGTGAATCTCTGCACATAACAAATTTCACAATTGATGAATAGTGAATTGGTGAAAGTATTTGAAACCCCAAAACATATTAGGGGGTTATGAATCATTAAAACTCTGGATTCAGATTAACTCCTACAACAATGTTACCATCAGTGAAGTTAATGTTGATAAATTTGCACTTCTACTGGTTCTAAGAACTAGAAATGGTGGAAAGGGAGTGATTTGAGACCGTGTTTATCCTACAACTCTCACTGGAACATCTGTGTTGGTCAAGATAGAAATAGGGGTCAAGACATGCTAAGAAGAGGTGATAGGTGGCCAAAACATTTGTGCTATAAAAACATACATCAGGGGAAAATGTTGCACTGGAAAATTGCATTTAGCACAAATGCTTTTTATAATTCACAGGGAATGGGTTAAACCCCATGGCTTTCCCAGGTCAATATCAATTTTATAAATTGTAGCAGGACAGGAATAACCTGTATATTTATATTGTATATCTATAAATACATTTATGGGTGAAAACTACGCATTTTGCAGAGAACAACTGAAAGAACTACATGATATTTGAATGTTCCAAATAGATAGTAACAAATGCATTTCATTCTATTAGCAAAACTGACAGTTTGCTAACTTTTCATTTAAAACCCCTTTTTTTGTTTTTCTGGGAAAGAGCCCATTTTCTGTTGATTGTCTTTCTACTTTGTAGCTGTTGGAATAAAAGAATGTACAAATACATGGATGAGAAGGTATGGAATTTAAGGTTATTATACACTTGCTGCATTTAGAGCAACAATTCATCATTTCATGAAATGTTTTTTGAAAGATCTAAGTACTATAAATGCATGGCTTATTGATCATAAAATTGATAAATGTGTTAATATTTTATAGGAGAAAGCTAATGCATCTTGCAAATGACAACAGGACAAGCTGTCAGTTGCAGCTTTCTTAGTTGCAGTAGAGCATAGGTTTTGCCATTGGACCCTGCTGTTTGAAAGATTAAATGTTTTACAGGCACACACCCCAGCTCCTTTCAGAATGTGCTATCACTGATCATACTTAAGGCAAAACTCCTGCAGCGTGTTCTGGATGAAGCTCCCAATGCATATTTGATTGCTGTTGCCATGTGTTCAATGTTTGTGGAAAATCTTAGCTCAGATACTTGTGAAGATGCCAGGCAAAAAATTGCTGAAGGAAATCCAAGAGATTTCAATCAGAATAAACAAAAAGCATGAGGGTGATTAAAGTACATCTAACAATTGATTTATGAATCAGAATGTAGAGACACAGAAAACAATGTAAATCATTTATCACCCTATTATTATAGTAAGCACACAAAGGGCAATAGAGACTCCACAGAAGGCATAAATCAGGATGCCTGTCTGAAAAAACTTAAAGTATAAATTTTAGAGGAGGCATTGAAAGTGATGGCAATTTGGAGGGGTTGAGTAAGGGTTACATTTGATTGATCACATGCTAATCCTTTTTGGACATTTCAAGATTGTGAATATTCTTTTTATAATATATAAAATACGAGTGAAATAAAGAAGCTAATATCTACTCTTAACTTCTCTGTTGTGAGGCATTGAGGATAAGTAAATTTCCCATGGACTTACAGAAAAAGCTCAGAGCAACAGCTCTGTGGGCACAAATGGTACCAGTGAAAGCATTTTCCATGTGAAACAAAGCAACCTATGAAGAATACATGGCACTTCATGTGGAGAATCTTCTAGTGCAGCTGGAAGCAATGACAAAATTCTGTATATCTTCCTTAGGAACATGCATAACCACGGTGACTTAATTCACTTATTAAAATATACTCAAAAAATAAGACAGAAATATGACTGGGAGGCATTTATTTTTACACAGCTGTCATAGAAGTCTTCTTTCAAAAACTTTCACAGACATTTCCTGCTTTAAGTACCCCAGGGTGGCCCTTGGCTCCCAGTTCCCTGACCCCATTTTGGAGCACCTGCATCTTGCTCCTCCTTGGCTCTCCTCCTAAACGGAG